TTGGGTAGCAGGGACTTGAACTTGGGGAATGGGAATGAAGACAAGAGGACAGGTGTGAGAGTATCTGGAAGGGCTGGTCACTGCTCAAAAGTGGGCAGGGTAGGAAGAGAGGAGAGGCAGAGTAGACTGTAATACTTCAAACTCAGGAGAAGAGGAACAGATAATGAGATGGGGGGGATATGAACAATATTACAAAGATATGAACAAGATGGTTTTGCCAATGTCTCGCCCCAACATGTTATTTATTAAGCAGCTACCACGTGCTAGGTACAAGGGGAATAATGAACGAACTCGGGTTTTGCCCTCAAAGATCACCCAGGGAAAGGAAAAGGGAAAAGCCAAAATAGCCAGATGCCAGAGCTCCTAAGTGGGGTACTCTTTCCATCACACAGCCTTAATTCAGGGAGCAACATAAAAATATACTTAAGCAACAAAATACATTTAAAGACCCCAAGACAGTTTTAAGAACTATTAATCTCTGCCAGGCCCCGTGGTTCACTCCTATAATCCTAGTACTCTGGGAAGATGAGGGAAGTGAATTTCTTGATTTAAGAGCTGGGAACAAGCCTGAGCAAGAGTAAGACCTGGTCTCTACTAAAAATAGAAAAACTAGCTGCGGGTCATGGTGGTGCCTATAGTCCCAGCAATTGGAGAGGCTGAGGTAGGAGGATGACTTGAGCCTAGAAGCTTGAGGCTGCTGGGATCTAGGCTAATGCTAGAGCGACAGAGTAAGACTCTGTCTCAAAAATACAAAAAAATAGGCCCAGTACCTATAGCTCAGTAGCTAGGGTGCCAGCCACATACACTGAGGGAGGGTTTGAGGCTAGAGGGTTTGAATCCAGGCTGGGCCAGCCAAACAACAATGACAACTAAAACAACAACAACAAAATAGCCAGGCGTTGTGGCGGGCACCTGTAGTCCTAGCTACTTGGGAGGCTGAGGCAAGAGAATCTCTTAAGCCCAAGAGTTTGAGGTTACTGGGAGCTGTGACGCCACAGCACTTTACCCAGGGTGACATAGTGAGACTCTGTCTCAAAAAAAAAAAAGAAAAAACTATTAATCTCAACTGCTGAATTATAGGCAAAGCAGAATGCAGTAAGTTCCTTGCTATAGTTCTAACCCCAAGCATTCAAATAGCTGTTCCCTTCTCATCATTTGGGTCCCAGGACAAATGTCACGGCCTCATATAGGCCCTTCCAACAGATCACTCTATTTCAAGCGCCCTCCCCATCACATGATCCCGTTTTATTTCCCTTCACTAAGAATATCTGAAATTTATATACCTGCATTTACGTGTGTGTCTGTGTATGTTTCCTTCCTAAGAACAGACGCTTCACGGAAGCCGGAAGTTTATCTTGTTAGCCACTGCCAGGCACATAAAGCCTCAGTAGGAGATACTTACTGACCACATTTTAAAAAAGAAAAAAA